AACATTATCTCCTGTCCCTTGGAAGAAAGAACACCTGGTGTTGACACAGAGTACCCTCCTCTCCCCTTGCCCATAAGTGGAAAACCTCCGCATTCCTACACACTCTACATCATAGGGACCCAATAAATGTAAAGAACAAAATGAATTAACCAATGCTATCTGCTTCTGTAATGATGCTTGCTGCCCCCCCCCTTTGTAGTTTTTCAAGTTAAAAAGCCAGAGTTAACCTGGCTGGGGGCTCTCTGTTCCTGCGAGCTCAGTGAGCCCCATGCATGCTTGGTGAATAAAATCCCCTTGCTTTTTTCATGAGAGAACGTCTCTTGGAGTCTTCCTTCACGCGGCGAGTGTCTCTGACCCTTACACACCCTGTTGGCCCAGCGCACGGCAGCTGCAGCTCTGAGGCCCAGTCCCTGTGCTCGCTACCAGTGTCTGCTCCCCACAGGCTTTTTCTAAGGGAGTTTTCTCACACTGGAGCTTGAGGTTTTCACCATCCCAAACACAGCGCTCACCCAAGGGAACCAAAGTCAGGGGGCTGATGCCTCAGCGCTGGTCCTTTGGGGATGACCTCTGGAAGGTCCCAGAAGTCGGAGTTGTCCTTCTGCATTCTGTCACTGACGCTATAGGTGAAGGGAATAGAATGCCTAAAAATAGAACTCTGTGGGGCCCTGGGAGAATGTGGGGATCTCCTCAGAGTGATTTCCACTTGCGCCCCTCTTCCATCTTGGGGTACACCGAAAACCATCTTCTTTCTTACCTCCAGGACATCATATCGGCAAGTTGCCTCATACTCCACATCAAAGTCATGGATAGTGAGCTGAATTCTTTTTCCTGGCTCAGTGTGAATGTACCAGATGCACTCTTTGTTGGCGGGATAATTTCCAGGGTACCCAGGACTGCTGAAGGAGCCCCTGGCTCCAAAGAGCTCCCCACCACAACCTGTTAAAACAGCAAAGCTCTGTCAGTTCAAACAGGGCAGCAGCAACTAGAAAAAAAAAAAATCAAAAATTTCAGCTCACCAAAGGTAACTGAAAGTATGCAATGTTAATTCAGGAGAAACTAGGTAAATCATAATAAAGTTTCTGTAATTGTAAAACAACTAGAAAGGGCTGAGAGGTCAGCTCTAGGGTACAGTGCATGGTTAGTATGCGCAAGGCCCGGAGTGCTACTCCTAGCATCAAAGGGTAAAAGAAAGAGAAAAAAAAAAAATCATACTTACAACTTCTATTTTTTTAAAAGAAATACCTATTATATAACAATGTTTGGCTTACTTCATAAAGCCTTTTGTACTTTTATCAAAACATCATCTACGCTTTGGATTTTCCTCACAATATTTAGGTGAGAATGACATAACAGAAAGTATAATGGGTTATGTGAACAGTGTTTGTGTCCTCAGGTCTTCAGATGTTCAGTTTCCTTGTTGCTAGCACATTATTTCCAAGTTCCTTTCAGGTTGAGAACTAGACTGTAGGTCAAGGTGCTACCACTTTCTTCAGTTTCCTATTTCTTTTGTTCCACTTGAAAACCTCTGCTTCTACACTTTCGAAGATAAAGCGGCGCATGCCTCTAATACCATCACTGTGGGAGGCTGAGACAGGAGGATCATGAATTCCAGACCAGCATGGGCAGTTAAACAGCTTAGCAAGACCTTGTCTCAAAATTAAAAATTTTAAAAGGTTTGAGGAATTTAGTTCAGTGCAAAGACCAGCACAACAAACAAAAGTAGATAGATAGATAGGTAGATGATAGATAGATAGATAGATAGATAGATAGATAGATAGATAGATAGATAAAATGTGCTGTCCAGGGAAATGGCTTTCTAATGTCTTATAAAGTTCCTTTTATTTCTGACTAAAGCTGTATGAAAAAGCTATTTAAAATTATGTGTGCTAAGCCGGGCGTGGTGGCCCACACCTGTAATCCCAGCACTTGGGATGCTGAAGCAGGAGGATAGTTGCGAGTTTGAGGCCAGCCTGGGCTACAAAGTGAGTTCAAGTTCAGCCTGAACCACACAGTGAGACCCTGTCTCAAAATAGACAAAAAAATAAATAAATAAAAATAAAATAAAATTACATGTGCTCATATTGTTTATAGACCGTGGTGAATGTTTAAAAAAATAAGTTCCATAAAGTATTAGAAAATATTTGCCCTACTATAACAACACATGGAAAATATTCCCAAAGCCAAAATCAACAGATTAGACATATTTTCAGTACCGCCCCACTCTAGGAAACACATTCATAATATATTCCATCAAATGACCCTTCCTAATGTTGGGCAACCCAGGGTTAAAATCCAATACCTTTCCCTAAAATACTTTATAGGAAAGTGAAGCTGATTTATCTCCATATGCAGCTCACAGGATTTTTGACTTCCATTGTATCAAATAAATAATCCAATGGAGAAAAAAACCTTTGAAGAAAATAACTTTGTGGGCACATGGTATAAAAGAGAACAAAGAAACAGAAGCTTGAACATTTCATCTCTGCATTTTTTAGCATCAGTTCATCAGCCCATCTAGTTCTACTTTGTTAAAATCATAGCTGACTCATCTAAGACTCTGCATAACATTTTTCCATTTTCTTTTCCAATTGTTTTAGGTTTCCTTGTAAATTCCTTTGCAAATAACAGGATGCCCATAGCCTTATACTCGCCACTGAACACGGCAGTGATGCTATCAGATTCTTGGCAAGCAGTGATGCTTTGAAAAATTATAGGTGTCCTTTCTTCTAATATTTAAAAGAAACTATAAACAAGTTTTGCTTAAGAACTAGAGTGTAGATCAGCAGAAGAGTGTCTGCCTAGTATGCCTATAGATTTGATCCCCAGCATTGAAAAAGTTTGCTTTTTAAAAACAAAGAGGAAAATTATATTTTTAGGTTTGTCATATCTGTTGTAATCCATAGCACATGTGTGTCTTTTAAAGACAAATTCCAAGATTATCATAGGTGTTAATGTGCTGGAGGAAATATTGACAGGTTGCTAAAAAAAAAAGAGAGAGGAAGAAACTTCTGGAGCTTGAAGACTTTAAAGTTTTCTTTTTCTTTTTTTCATTCTCATCACTTGCAAAGTTTACCACGAAAGAGGTAGAGCATTTGATCTCAAAGTTCACATCAAATGTAAACAGAATATGTAATTTGGTAACATTTTATGGTGAAAACTATAAAGTACTAGAAAATAAAGTGGATTCTGATAATTATGGTAGTAACTGAACTCAATCTTTGTAATTCTAACTTTAAAAAAGTACAATTACATCCTAGTTTCATTCATTCATTCAATAAGTGTTTATTGAGCATATACCATAGGATAAACAGTGCTATAGAAACTAAATATATGTAATATCATTTCAGAAAAAAGTTTATTGGCATAAATTGTGTCATTAAACACGTCTTTCTCCATGTAATACAGAATTGTATTGCTTTTGTTAGAGTTTGCAAAGAGTTACTGTATATTTTTAAAAATGTGAATTCTTTTTTATCTTTTATATATTAATTTACAATAAACTGCAAATAAAAATAAATGGCTCATGTGATTGTGAGTGATGTTTTTAATTTTGGGTGTGTGACCAAAAGTCATAGGAACTGGTAGGAGAGAGAAGGGTGAGGATACAAGATACATTATATCAATCCAGTAGCTGTGAGAAAACAGCATAGGACGCAATGTTTAGACTATCAATATCTTCTTTATCACCATGTTTCCTGTGTGTTGAAAGAATAATAAAACACAAAAGAAATAGGAGTATTTTTGTAACCAGAAATCAGTGATCTAAAATAGATGGCAGTGATTTCAGGGGTCTACCTTAAAAAGAATAACTAAATGATAGCCGGGCGTGGTGGTGCATGCCTGTAATCCCAGCACTCGGGAGGCTGAGGCAGGAGGATCCTTGCAAGTTTGAGACTAGCCTGGGTCACAAAGTGAGCTCAAGGCCAACCTGAACTGCAGAGTGAGACCCTGTCTCAAAAAAGACAAAAGCAAACAAACAAACAAAAAAGAAAACAACTAACTGATAAAAACACCAACCAAGGAGAGAACCATGCTTTCTTTAACAAAAACTTGCAAGATTTATCTATTTAGAAGAAACAGACAAAGTGGCTCTTTGTATCCAATTAGTAATAAAGTTTGCATGGTGGAGACATGATTTCAGAACATCTTAATTAATATGTTAGATCAAAAAATTTCAGAAACCTAACATACCTGATAAAGCTTAGACTGTGGCATAAGGCAAACTGGGTTCCAATATTGACTGTGACACTTATTAGGTAAGTAATTTTACGTCTCTAATCCTCAGTTCATCTATATCAGTATTAATTCTTACCATATAGGCTGCTCATATGGATTAAGTGAAACAAAATAAGTTTTGTAGCTAAGTGTCGTGCATACAACAACCATCCCACACATGCTGTGCATTATATCTTAACAAGACTTTGTAAAGATATAGAACAAGATCCGAGAAAGATCTGGACCTGGAAGAGGAAGTACTGGCTAAAAATCCATGGCCAGCTAAAGAAAAGGTAAGAAATTGGTTGTTTATTGAGCTATCATAAATTTTTAAAAAGACAGTCCATATGTGTATGGTAGTTCAATTTTCAGAGTGCTTTTAATAAGTATACTAACTTGTTTAAAATTCTAAACAATGTGGGATGGACAAGAATCCTAAAGTTAGGCCCATTTTAGAGATGAGTGAAGCGAGCCTCAAGGGTGACTTGTGCATGTCCTATAAGTGAATGGCTGCTCTAGGCCAGATAGTCTGACTCCCGTACCTCACCATTCATCTCCGGGTCTGTGTTCTCCCCATTGTACCTTATTGACTACATCACCCAAGGACATGGGAATGGCAGGGTTGGACACTGCCCTAACCACTGTTCAGTCCCCACTAAGAAAACAATCCCCATAGCAACTAAGTAAAAATCTTTTTACTGACTTTGAGACCAATCTGACAAAATCTAATATGTTAACATAATTCTGACTTCAGTTGAACTGGAATAAAATAATGCTTCAAGAAGATCATATGGTTTTCATTTTATGCAGTTAATCTTTACAAAACTTTTACTGGTGCCTGATAATCTGTTTGATTTTATTTTCCTCCACAAGCCTAGTCATCAGCTGAAAGGAAGTGCTTATTTTATCAGCAGGAAGCACATTGATGTACTGAAGTCATAACAAGAAGAGTTTGAGGCTGTTGCTAAGCCTGTTTATTTATGTAGCTAATTTAAATTTTTTCATGGAAGAACTTGACAAATACTCTTTTCTTTTTTGTCTAAAACAAGCTATGAGTTGCAAAACAGAGTTAAAAACATAATAGTGACCTCCTATCTATGTCCTATCTTCAAACTTTTTTGTTTGTATGTGCTTCTGATTAATACCCACTGAATTTCTCAGGCACTGCCTGAGGTATGAGGACAAAGGTGCTAAAACAACCAAATATGATCGGAGGCACAAAATTTGAGAACACAGTCAGACAACCAAATATGATCGGAGGTACAAAATTCGAAAAGTAAATTTTGCATTGCCCTACAGTTGTTCAAGTTCAGCCACCTCTTAACACTTGGCATTTTCCTAAAAGCATAATTCCATAAAGCAACAACATCAGCAGTGTGTCAGTTTGAAAGAAACTTGGTTGACATTCACTGAGGCTAGAGGGAAAGGAAGAGAGAAACAACTCAACCAGGGACCTGGCACTTTTGTCCTAATACCTCAGGCAGTGCCTGAGAAATTCAGTGGACATTAATAAGAAGCCAAAATGCCAAAGTATAGTAAAAGAAACAAATTGAACACCATAAATGATATGCTCATATACTTAGCTAAAATGATCAGCATACTAATAGTTTTCCTAAAAAGCTATTGTCTGTTTTGTAATACCTTGAGATGGTCCCTCTTGCCTCTGCCACATGAAAAAAACAACCTGTGGAAGGTTTGAGGTCGCAGAGAGAAGTTACTGA